TGAAGAATTTTGGTTGCACCTAATTTAAAAACACTTTTTAAAAAAGTGAAGCCCATTTACTTCCTTATGAAAAATATAAATATGTCTATTTTTTGTATCCATATATCTGGCATCATGTTTACAAAAGGATCAGAGATGAGAAATACAAGCTTAGCTTCACTAGTCTTAGGGAATAAAGGAAATCACAGACAAGAATGGAGAGAAAGATGACACCGTGTTCTGGAGATTCCTTAAATAGCTGAATACTGGTTAATACAGTAAACACACAGAGATGGAAAGCAATATGAGCTTTGGAGATTATACTCTCTCCTGGATTCTAGAATGGTAAGGGATTTTATGAAGCGAAGTGTGTATTAATGTCTTGACCATGTAAATTACAGAGGAGATGAAGTTAAGAGGAAAAAGCTGTCACCGGAGAATCACAGTTGCTGATTCCTCATGCAGGTTACAGGTTTACTTTGACAACCTCCACAATTCCTGGTGTGGAGCTGGAGGATCATGAAGTGGACTGGAAGGCCACTTTAAACAACAAGGTTGGTGGTTCAAATTCACCTGGCTTTCTTTGAAAGTCCTATATAGGGTCACTATGAGTCAGAACTGACTCAACAGCACTTAACAGCAACAACAGTTCCTCTATTCAGACAAGTTGCCAAGTTTTACCTATAGAGCTCAGTTCTACTCTGTGATACACAGAGCTGCAGGAGTCTCAATGAACTCAATGGCAATGCCTATTGGTTGGTTTGCTTTTGCCCAGAAGTGAGAGGTAGGGAGAAAGGGACACCGGATACTCCGGGGTGTTCCTGTTAGTGGTGGCAGAAGAACTTGGAAATGGATCATGGTAATGGTTGCACAATATGATGAATGTAATCGATGTGGAATTGTACAATGTAAATTGTTGAATGGCAAATGTTCTGTGAAATAAAGGGGCTTCAAAACATCATGGAAAAATATCAAGGTATAAGTAGATTTGTGTTATCTTTCAGTAACCCAGAAATTAATTGGAACTTAATCCAACAGCATTTTAGGAGGTTGTGGAACAATATACACTTGTCTGGGGATATT